CTTATGGAAAACACTACTCCTGCCTCAGAAACTATTTGAAAACTGCAAACTGAATCCATACTCTTTTCTAAAGATTTGTTTTCTATATATTGAGGTTTTGCCTGCATGCATGTCTGTGTGCGGATGCCACATCCCCTGAAACTGGAATTACATTTGTGAGCAATTTGGGTGCTAGGAATTAAAGTTGGGTCCTTTGGAAGAGAAGCCAGTGATCTGAACCACTGAACCATCTCTCCTTTCTTAACAATTTAGAAAGAAATCAAAGGACTGAAGCTACACACACGTCCCTCTGTGTGGTGAGTTTTAAGATATTTTTAAATTTCTAATTATAGGTATGTGTGTTGTGTGTAGAGGTGCTGGGGAGGCCAGAAGAGGGTATCAGATCCCCTGAAACAAGTTACGGACAGTTGTAAGCAGTCATGTGTGGGTGCTAGGAACCAAGCTCAGGACCTCTGTAAGAGTAGCAAGTGTTCCTTAACAAGGAGCCATCTCTCCTGCCCCTCCTGTAGTAATGCCTGAGCTGTTAGCATCTCTTGATCACAAGGTATCTGAGTTAAAATAGAGGAACTTCCTGCCTGGTAGAGAAGAGTTTCAAGGGTGCCCAGCTTGTGAAAATGGTAGAGATGCTGTACGGTCTCCACTAGAGTCAACTCCTGTAGACTGATTTCTTGATGTTTCTTCAACTCTGAGCATCTCCCAGGAGCGAGGATGAAAAGAAGATGGTGCCCTTTAAAAATTCCCTGTTTCTTTTGTTATTTTATTTTGTATTGAGATGGGGTCTTCCAGCAGCTTAGGCTGGTCTCTCCAGTTTCCTGCCTGGGCCTCCTGATTAGGGAGATTTCAAGTGCACATTGCGCAGGGATACTGGGTGCCTGTCCCTTTCAGTGGTGCCTAACCAATTGGATTAGCAACATCTTTGGGAAACTGTAGCCCTGCCAGGTCATTTTTCCGCTATCATCAGAACTGTATACATCATTGTTTTCAGGATGGGCGGCGCTCCCAGCGCACTGTTTTCGGGTTTCTATTGGCACTTTGATAGTCTCAGTTCTGAGTGGCAGGCCAAGCAGCAGCAAACTCCGGTTCTAGGAATCTGGGGCAATTATAAATTTGTTAGTCATATCTCTTCCTGAAATTGCCATTTCCTTTCCTTTGGAATGAGCACATCCTCTCCTTCCTGCGAGCTAAAGGGAAAAGGTGCTTTTGAAATATCCAGGATTTAACAATTCTCCCTCTTTACTTCCCTTCTCCTCTCCTTTTCTCCCCTTCTAGAGTTCTGACTTTCAAACGTGCACCCTCAACCGGAGGGAGGTGATAGCTTGAGGTGTCTGGCTTGGAGTCACTTCCCTGCTCCCATGTCTCTACTGTTAAAAGCCAGCGGAAGTGACTGAGAAATCCCGGGGAGGGGGGTCGAGTGACACCCCCCCCCCCCCCCCGGGACCAACAGCTTCTCAGTTTTTCCCTTCTCCCTTTCCCTCAAATCTTGGGCAGAGTCGGGGACTCCCAAACTGCACAGTAAACTTTTTTAACTTTTTGTGAGCGGTGACCTACAGAAACCCATAGACGCTCTAGCCATGGGATAGAGTCCTGAGAAGACCCGGGTTTAAACTGTTGCAAAACTTTCAGGGAACTGCGGATCTGAAACAGAACCTGGAACCATAGGAGTCTAAAACTCTTGACTTGGGTCAATTAAACGGAGAGTAGAGCTCAGGTGACAAATCTCGTTCCTCGTGATCAAGTATGAAATTGGGACTCCGGCGCAGCGCTACTTTCTCTTGTAAGAAATCCCAAGTGCGGTAGTGAAAAGAGATGGGGACAAAATGAACGGGACCGGCAGAAATGGGGAAACGGAGAAGACACAGTAGAAAGCAGAGAAAGAAGAGACCTTCGGAGAGGAGGGACGGGCCCAGAGAGATCCTCACCAAGACCTGGAGAGGGAGAGAGAGATTCCAAACCGGAGAGACCGAGATAGGAGAGGAGGAGAGTCGAAGTGAATAGCAGAGCTCCACCGAGGGAAGGGAACTTTCTCTGCTCTCCCTTCCTAGCAGGCCGACTCTGAAAACCCCACCTCGGGGAGGTGACGCGAATGGCCACCGATTGCTCGGGCCATTGCGGGCGCCTCTGGCCTCCGCCTCCGGCAGCTGGAGGGGCCTAAAGCGCTGTGTCCTGGCACCAGCGGCTGAGGAGGGGACTGGAGGCGGGCCGCCTGCCTCGTTTTCTCCTCCCCTCTCCTCCTCCTGGAGGCGTGCACCCAGGGTATTTGAGCGCCCGCGGGGGCCCCCGCCCCCTGGCCCCCCATTCAAGAAGCGGCTCGGCTAACTCGGCCAGCACAGGGCGCCCGGCGCGCCTCGGAGCGCACGTTCCGCGCCTTCTCCTGTCCGCTGGCTGGACATTATGCGGCCGAGCAGCCGAGCCCCAGTCCTCCGCCTCCTTCTCCTCCTTCTGCGGCCAGAGCGGCTCAGCTCACGGCAGGCGGCAGCGTTGCTCAGCCGAGCGCACACGGGACCCTCTCTGCAAGACCTCAGCGACTCCTAAAGTCAAAAAGTTGGCGGCAGGGCGCTAGGGTTCCGCGCGCTCTCCACTGCTACTGCCTTGCGTCGCCGCCAGCCACCAAAGCCGGCAGGAGGGAGGGGGGGTGAGAGAAGCGGGGGGGAGGGGTGAAGAGCACCATGCAGTTAGTATCCTGGGCCACACTGCTAACGCTCCTGGTGCCGGACCTGGTTGAGATGAGGAGCCCTGACGCCGCGGCGGCCGTGCGCAAGGACAGGCTGCACCCGAGGCAAGGTAACGTGGCTCTGGACCCTCAAGGTCCCCCCTCCCACACACACACCCTCCGTCTCCACCTCCTCAACACACGCTCTGGGGCGGGCACCCCACAACAGAGGCCTCTCTCCTTTTCCTAGAAAGAATTACCTCGCGTTTTGGGCCTCTCCCTTTTCTGGGTCATCCTTAGCCAACCGGAGGGAGGGAGGCACCGCAAGAATTTTAGGGCCACCCCCAGCCCTTTTTTGCCTGATTTTTACTCTTTCTCCTTATTCCCCGTCCCAAATCAATGCTACTTTGTAGCAGGGATCACTGGAGAGCGCACATTTGATTTTATTCAGGAATTTATCAGAACCTGTAATTATTTTATGTTTCTAGATTTATTCATTGTCTGAGTTCTCATGTTGTATTCTGGGCGCCTCGCATAGTTGTGGGCTGTTACTATTACAGTAGGCGTTTAACAAATATTTGCCCAGAGATGGAAGGTGAAAGAATTGACACGACGGGCTGCAAAGTTAGGACAAAGCCCCCCATCTCCTTTTTAAATTAAAGCTTTCCCAGAAATGAATCATTAGCTCATTTGTCTCTGCTTCTCCCTGCAGTGAAATTATTAGAGACTCTGAGTGAATATGAGATCGCGTCTCCCATCCGAGTGAACACCCTCGGGGAACCCTTTCCCACGAACGTGCACTTCAAAAGAAGGCGACGAAGCATTAACTCTGCCTCTGACCCCTGGCCTGCCTTCGCCTCCTCCTCGTCTTCCTCTACCTCTTCCCAGGCACATTATCGCCTCTCAGTCTTTGGCCAGCAGTTCCTATTTAATCTCACCGCCCATACCGGATTTATCGCTCCACTGTTCACTGTCACCCTCCTTGGAGAGCCAGGGGTGAACCAGACCAAGCAGTATTCCGAAGAAGAAACGGAACTTAGGCACTGTTTCTACAAAGGCCATGTCAATACCAAGTCCGAGCACACTGCGGTCATCAGCCTGTGCTCCGGAATGGTAAGTGGACGCGTGCCCCTTTCCTCCTCCCCGCCTCCTCGTCTGCTTCTTTAAGACTTAATTGCACCCTAGTCTGTACCTACGGAGTCTATGCTCTGGGGTTAAATATCAACACTGGCTTTGGTCCCAGGATTTGGGGGTCTACCGGCGGGGTGCTTGCGCTTACACTCGAGAAGAAAGTACGCATCTATCCCCCAGAGGGTCGTGGATCTTATGAAGCTGTCTCGGAGATGCATTGCGCTTGCTGCGCGTAGCCCAACTCTGCAGAGTAGCTTGCACGTCGACTTACAAACTCAGAGAAAGTTGCTGGGGTTGTGGTTTCTTGTAGCAAACTTGGCCGCCCTGGAGCGGAGCAGCTGAGCACAGGGCGGACCTAACTCCTCATTGGTGCTTCCTGAGTCAGGGATGTAAACTGACAATCCCGGGACACCCCTTCTGGAGTGCTGGGATATCTCTCGTTATGGACAGGAGTACATAACCTAGTGTCCCCGCATTCTTTCTTCTCGAGCCTTTTATCACGTGCAAGGAATTTTGAAACTGAACCAGACTGACAGGGAAGCCAATTCTGTCCCGGGAAAGGAAGGGTGGGCCAAGTACTCTGTGAGCCCGGAGTGAGGGCGGAGCCTGTCTCTAAGGCGGTCTTTGAGGGTGGAAGGGCGGCGGCGGGGGGCGGGGGGGGGGGGAGTAGCACTGCAGTCCGACTCTGCACCCTGCTGGCGTGGTGGCTGGAGGCGCTAGAGTAGTGGGAGAGAGCCTGGAGAGGTAGCCTTAAGAAGAGTCCCGTTTTTCTAGAACCCGTGGCAGTTCCAAATAGACAGGAATAGGAACAAACAGCGCACTTTTCTCTACGAAGGTTGAGTGTGACGGATACCACTCTGAGCTGCCTAGTGGGCACTTAGTGGGAGATCCAAATTGGTATCTCCATCCCCTCCTTCCTGACCCCTCTGTTTACCCTCCAGTGGAACTAACAAGGCATCCGCCTCCAATTCGTACGACAATTGAGAGTCTCTTACAATTCTGGACCCAACTAGGGTGGTCCTTCACTTTCCCAAGCGACGTGCGTCCTTCCACGCGCTTATGACGCAGAAACTTTCCCGCGGCTCGCTCTCCTAGCTCACAGCACTGCGCATTACGCACAATTGGCTATTAAAAGTCCGCGCCCCCGGGGCATTTACTCTCTTCCCTTGGCACACCCACCCACCTCCTCCTCTTTCTAAGTGGGGGCTTGGGTACTCACTTGAGAGCCAGGCTGCCACATTCGCTGGCTGGTTCTTGCGTCTTAAATTCCCGGTCTGGAGGTTACATCCTTCTAAGCAGAATCCTGGCGAGAGCTCCGCACTCCAGAAGTCTGGGTGGAGAGACCGTCTAGCCTGCTGGGTTATGGGGAAGGGGGTGAGCCCCTTTACCCACCAGCTAAGCACTGGGAATCCTGGCTCCCAGAGTGCCTGGTTGAGATTGATTGGGGATAGGCGGAGACAGCTGTTTGTCACGGGGAGGGGATGCTGCGTTGAGTCATCATGGCCTCAAACCTGGTCCTGGACGCTAGAATGGCTCCGCTTTTGAGAGGTTATCGCCTAGATAGGCTGAAAAGCCTTGAGGCGAATCCCAGAGAAACAACGCACCCCTGATTTAAAGCTAGGGACCCCAATTCCTAGTTCTTACATAGGGCTGCTGTGTACTTGGTTGGTAAACACTCTTTACTCCTCCTCTTTCCCCGCCTACACACCGGTGGAATCCGAGTGGCCCCAGCAGTTGTATAAATATTTTTCTGCGTAGGACCTTAATTTCTATTGGTGGTTTTACATGGTAACACAGTGCACGTGGTTTCCTTGAGAACTGAGAATCCGGGCTTCTGGACTGACCTAACCCCATTCGAAAGGCATATAATTTGTAACGGGCCTTTTTGGGGGGATAGGGCGACATATATTTTAAAAATATGCGAACTAGGTTTTTGTATCTTTGGCCACTAATCTAACTCTGAGCTTCCTGCCTTCGTTGTCTCCTGGAATTTTTATTCCTCCCACAACTCATCTTTACCATTTCTGTAGCCGTCTCTCCATAATGGTGTTCCTGACTCCCCAGGAAGGCTTCCAGGAAATCTGCCCTGTTTGGAGTGATCTAAAACCGTACACCTGCCACACACACACTCCCGCACCTGCCAGTCCTCAGTGTCTCTGACTCCCATCTCACACATGGCTCTCCTCTGCTGAGCGAATGTCTGTACCTCAGTCCATGCTCCCCTTCTCTCCTCAGGACCGCTGTCTGAGAAATACCTCCATCTACCTGCTTCTCTTCTTCTTTTGTTTTTGTTTTTTCGATCCCTGCCGCACATCCAGAGCAGGTCCCTAAGTGGGCTGTGAGACCTCATTGCTGTGGTTGTCCCCATAACCTACACATCTCATAGTCTCGCAAACAGTATCAAGTGCCACAGCTGGTGCTTAAGATTCTGATGTTAGATCTCCTCACCCATATGTCCCAACAAAGTCCGATTTCATCTTAGTTTCTCCTTCTGAAATTCCCTATTTCAAGTAGTCAGCTTTATGCTTCCTCTAAACTCTCTTAATTGTCTATGTTCAGTCCATATATTTCCTACCGTGTGTGTGTGTGTGTGTGTGTGTGTGTGTTGCTGATAACTCTGGGTCTTGTATCTGCCAGCAAGAGAGCTAAATTCCTGGGTCAACATTTTTTTCTTTTAAAACGTTTCATGTTTCTTCCTTGCAAGACTCCATCGTCTTCCACGTGGTGTCATTCCTCTGCCTCCAAAATCATAGACACTGTTTGTCTTCAGCTGTGCCCCGTGTTCTCGTGCCCGTGTTCTCCTCTTCTGTCCCGGGTATTTGCACTCACGCCTCGCTGTTCCTCTCGCATGCTGTAGTGTAGACTGCGCATAGCGTGTTTGTGGATATGGTGATGGCCATAATGGTCACCTCAGCCAACACAAGATATGTTGGGTCCCGGTGATTCTTTCTGAAACAACAACAGAATTCTTTCTGAAACAACAACAAAATTACTTTTTCCTCCACATTGTTACCATTTATTGAGCTTTTGCTGCATGATCTGTGATACAAGGCCCCCACCATCAGAGCTAACCCATTTTGCTGGTAAGAGTTCCTGGGCCTTCAGAACAACCTTCTTGCCCCAGACCTCATGCTGATAGGTGACCAGGTTCTAATTTCACCTCAGCCTTTCTTCTCCATACTTATCACCAGAGGCCAGAGGCCCCGTTCACACTCCTCCGGAGAAGGACTTTTATTTTTTGCAGACACTGATGTAAAATCAGGATTCTGAGTTCAAGAATCACCAGGATGCTAACCTGCTCTGTACTACTTAAGGGCCACTTAGGACAAGTCCCTTCCTTTCTGTGCCTCTCGGGATTCTTTCACTAGTCCCGGCGGCTGGTAGGCTTTCCGTTCCCTGTACTTAGGAAACCCCAGTTACATACTGCCTGCAGATAGACATGCTTTGGCTAGCATGAATGTGCTGACCTGGTGCTTCTCTGGGATCCGTCAGTTTGTCACAGACTATGCTAAAAGTGACTGAATCTATGTGCTTGAGTCATGAGGGGAGCTTCTTTTAAAAGTCCAGTTCTAGACGTCACGTCTAGAAATTTCGAATCTGTAAATACAGAGTGGCGCCCCCCTCAAATCTCAGCAGGAAAAAGAATTCTTTCAGGCTTCTCGATCCTCCTTGGTTTGGGAAAGCAGTGCCTTAGCCTGGCGGGGCGTCTTGCATGCCTTTTCTTGTATACGAACCATGGGAGCGTCTTAAAATTTTCATTCTTGAACTGATCCCAGAGATTCGGGTGCAGGACAGCAAATGTGAGGCAGAGGATCTGGAGGATGCAGGTACAGGTGTCCGCACCTCTGGACGATGTGACTACAGGTGTCCGTACCTCTTCAGGGCTCTCTTTTCTTCTGTGCCCAGGAAATAAGGGAAGGCTTCTGGTTATTTTCAGTGTGGGAAGAGGGAAGAGTTTGGTGTCTCCTCTGAGATGCTGCCCATTGGGCACTTTCAGCATTCATAAGGCATTGCATGGTTCAAGCTGGAGGCATCATGGAACATTTGCAAAACTTGGAGCTACATGAGGGGGGGGCAGGAAAATGGCTTTTACAAGGTGCCCATCATACTCGGCAAGAACAAATTGGCTCAAAACTAATGAGCTACACCAGAACCCACTGATCACTTCAAAGCCTCAGAAGGCTCGCACACTGGGCTACGCGTGTGGCTGGTATGATCCCCTTTAACCTTCACAGGTGAAGTTGAAGAAGGAACTTTATCTCCAGCTGACGAAAGTGTTAGCTCAGATCAGTGAGAACGTTGCTCAAGGGGGATAGGTGTGGTGCTGGGTTGCAGGCAGAAGACTGTGACAACACTGCCTTTTGGGATATCACTCTGCCTTGGCAAAGGGAACAGGAGGAGACTGTGTCAGGGTGACAGGCAAGACCACCCTGAGGGCACTGTGGCCATCCTGTACCTGGTGAACGTGAAAGGAGGAAGTTTTGGCCAACCAGCTTGTCCCTCCGTTATGCCTTGGCGTTTGGGAATTTCTAGGCAGCCTGAGCACTTAATACTCTCGTTGAGCCTCCTGGAGGAAGAATAAGAGATTTGGAATTTAGGTACCAAGGAAAAGCTAGACTTGGAAAGCAGGCATAGCATGCTACAATCTAGTCAAGAATTAGCTTCCAGTGTGGTAGAGAGCTAAGATAAGACACAGCTGCCCCAGGCTGCCTTGGTCCTCTCAGGGAGGGGCCGGACAAATTACTCCTGCTCCTACCTGGGATTAGCTCCTTCTTTGTGTTGTGTTTTTGCCCCTCCCATTGATTGAGTTGTGTTGAATCAACCTCTCATCTCTCCACAGATGGGTACGTTCCGCTCCCACGATGGAGATTATTTTATTGAACCACTGCTGTCTGTGGATGAGCAAGAGGATGAAGAGGAGCAGAACAAACCCCACATTATCTATAGGCGCAGTGCCCCTCAGAGGGAGTCCTCAACAGGAAGGCGTGCCTGTGACACCTCAGGTATTTGCTTCTTGATTAAATACAGATGCTGTGTTGACGTGGGTTCAATGCCACACTGCAAGAACGCAGCAGCTTTTTTGCTGTTTGCAGAACACCGCCGTGATACGATATGGTTTATTCAATGCTCTGGTAAGGTAGGTATAGCCCCTTGTATAAATGGAAACTACAAAGAGATTTAGTGACTTTTCCAAGGCTGCATGGCTAAGAATGTACAGTCAGGATTCGAAATCAGAAAGCAAGGACTCCAGTCCATCTGTGGGCGAAGTCACCTCTTCTGTTGAAGTTGTTGAGACTTCAGACAAAGCTGGAGTCTGAACCTGTTACTGCGGTGAGCAGTCATTTGCACTTTCTTGATGGCTTCTTTTCGTTTGGTTTCGCTTTTGATTTGTGTCACATTTGTGACATATGCATGCTGCACAGGGTTTTGGATTTTATTTTGTTTTGCTTTGCTTATCTTATAATGAAATTCACAAAGCCTGCTGTGTGTTTATTGATCTGGCTAATGTGTGCGGTTTTAGGAAACCCAGAAATGGATCTGGAAGCTTCCTTCTAGGTTTCAGTCCCATCCATACACTGTAGGCCTGCTGCTGTGTTTCACTGCATTCTGGGCAGATTGTAACTGGTGTTTGGCTGATATACAGTCCATCCCTAGAGATGCATTTTCCTGGGCACCTGAGGAAATTGATGCTTGTCTGTGGCCTTCAGGCTGCAGTGTTGTAACATCCCTCACCGACCTCTAGGCCTGGCTGTTGTTCACCTGCTGGCAGCATCCCACTGAGTAGCATCCTTAAGGTTGTTCTTATGTGCTAAGATGATTGTTAAAATGTTTTTAAAATTTCATCGATTTCTTGCTTATGGAACTCTTTCTTCATACCTGTATCAACAAAGTAAGTAGCTATTCAGAGTTTTCTGGTATCTTTTACTACATATAATCAGAATAGTCAAAAGCAAGAGGATAGAATTACAGGTCTTTCAGCTTATTACATCCATTCTTGTGTTCTCACCATGACAGCAAGGTGGGATATAACTGGAGTCACTGTTATCTGGTCTCCCTAAAGGAATGAAGAAGCCATATGTGGAGGATCGCAAGTTCAAGACTAGCCTGGGCTACTTTGTGACTTCCAGGTCTCCTGGTCTATATATTGAGACTTTGTCTGCAAAGGAAAAAGGCAAAAAGAAAAGTCCAAAAGTTGTTGTTGGGTAGTTGTCCTCAGAAACAATAGTCTCAGGAACTGGAGTAGTGGCAAGCCTGCTAGCTGCCAGCTACTTTAATCATTAGGACATTTGTCCTAGTTTTATTTTTTTTTTTTTTACTATCCTACATCAGGTTTATTTTATTTCTCAAATATGCAATAGCAAGTATATATTTTAAACATGTTATACACTGGATAGAAGGGAAATGCATGATCTTTCCCTTCTGTCTAATTGATGTGTTAAAAAGTACATGGTACTTGTATTTAATGCACTGAACACTAATCTAGATTCTGATGTTCTTCTCCCTAAAGTGGCTACAGAATAGCTTTTTGGAATGCAGCCAGAGATGTCCTGACCTTTTCTAGACAGTCACCAAAAGCTCAGGCCCTTCCCTCTTTCCCTTCATCTCTACTCCAGACTTAACGAGGCAGGACTCCCTCTCATTGCCTCTTATCTGGTAAGGAAACTGATACTCACACA